TTTTTTTTTTTTTTTTTTTTTTTTCCTAGAGGCCTGTGCCATTAGCAAAGAGGTAAAAAAAAAAAGGGAGCTAGAAAGACAGGATGATAATTCCCTGTACTGGCAGCGAGCGTATTTTGCTGCCTCTGCCTTGGCAGCCCCCCTGATTTCCAGGAACCAAAAGTCATCTCACYCCGTAGCCCCACGCGCCACTGCCCAACCTCATACCTGTCCCACGAGAATCCCCCTCTCCAAGAGGACACCTCGCCAGGAGCCTGCAATGGCTCCCCATCCCTCTCATCCATCTGCATCCACAGTTAGCAACAGCAGGAGATCCAGGAAGGACCTTTCTGGAGGGAGATCTCTGCACCCCCCCAAAAATAATCCCCCCCTGGCTACATCAGCACCCACGTCCCACCTATCCCCTAGGATGCATGGATTTTTTTTTTAAGATATGACTGTTATTCGGGTTTTGGAGGGGTTTTGGCGGCGGCGGCAGCGTGCCTAATCTGCTTTGTGAATGGGAGTGCGCGGGGGGCGGCCGGCAGCGGAGGGGGAGCCGCATGCCTGGGATTCCTGCAGCCGGGTGGGCTCCGGCTCCCCAGACTCTCAGGATGTGGGAAATGGAAGATGAAAGGAGCTGCGTTTCCAGCCTCTCGGGTTACAGCGGCGAAAGCAGAGCAGGGAGGGGGGGAAAGAGGGAAAAGAAGGAGAGAAAAAAAAAAAAAAGAAGAAGAAGAAGAAGAAGAAAAGGGGGGTTTAGAGGCCAGGGAAAGGGAAGGGGGGGATGCTCCGGGAAACTTTGGGTTGGGAAAAGGCCTGGAGCGAGCGGAGCAGGCGAGGGGGCCACGGCGCTCGTGTTTCACATCACGTCAGGGCCCAGGAATTTCCTCCACTCTGGGTGGGGGGGCCTCGTGCAGGAATAGATGGAGAGAGGGGGTCCAGGCTCAATGGGAGGCCATGGAGGTGTGCGGTCCCCCCCGGCTGCAAATCCATTGCTCCCTCCATCGTGGCCTGGGGCTTCTCCGCAGAGGCTGTGCGGAGATGGGGGCGAGAGGAAGGATGATACTGGGGCAACCACTTCCTTCCCAGTGCAGAAACACGGTGTGCCCCAGACCGGCCTCGATTTGGCACGGGAAAGCTGGGAATGGGCTTAGTCTAGCCGGAATGGCATTGCTCTGAGCTACGCCCAGCACCCTGCGGGCAAGGAGCCCTTTGCTGGGTGGAATAAGGGAGAGGGCCCCCAGCTTCCCACTTGCCCCATTCCATCCCATTCCATCTCTTTGCAGGTGCATTCCTAGCATTGTTCCTGCAGGAATGTGGCTGCGGTGAGGAGGGCACCCTCCCCCATCCCTCCTGGCTTTTCCCAGAGCTTTAGCAGCAGTGGAGGGCCCGGGGTGCTGCATTATCCRGGGCCACGTGCCATGCAGAGAACTGCTCTGCTCCAGCTTTTCTTCCTGCTGGAGGTTTTCAGGTGCCCAAACAAGCCGTTTTCCCTGTACCAGGCGCTCCGGCAGCACCGCGTGCCCTGGTGGGGCTCTGGATACCCAGCTGCTAGAGAGACCGAGGCCAGGGCTCTACCTGGAAAAATCCCATGGGAAATGCAGCCTTGCACCGATGGGGCTGGAAGGATGCAGCACARCCTGGCACAGAGACTCGCTGCAGCCCTGGGCAGTCGCAGGGTTGCGGTTCAGATGCCCGCTGCATCCCCGGGTGCCACGGGGATGCACTTGGAACGCTTGCTGCATTCCCGGGGAGCCACAGGGATGCAGCCAGCGAAGCTGGGGTGGCTTCTGCTCCTTCACACCGAGACATCCAGCACATAGGGAACGCCCTGTGTTTGTCTCTGCCCTGCCACCACCGTCCTGTGCATCCCCGGTGCCATCCTTATCAC